TTTTCAACGAATATATCACAGTTAGAATAGTTCTTAATTGTAAGAAGAAAATGACCCAGTTAGCAGTAACATTATGGTGCAGTTAGCAGAAAAGCACCATTTCAACATAGTTTACCTTCTGGGCATTGGTAACGCTACTTCTGTGGCAGACAATCACTCCCACAGCAATTTATGTGCTTTTTTTGTGTGGTCAATGTGACATTAGCATTTATATTATCCCATGTTATTTTTTGCACCATAAAAATTTAATTCATAATTAAAGAGAACATAATATCTATGTGGAATAATATTTTTAGGGTCCACTTAGGGGGAAAAGACTTATGCATACATACTTATGTACATATATAAATGTGTGTTTATGTATACATCCATGTATACATACATATCCTAGATATATGTATATAGCAATCACAAAATCGCCTTTTAAAAAATATAAAAATGAATTGATTCTCTGGAGAAACTCCTGCTTCCAAATCTTTTTCTCTATTCTGCCAATGCAAATAACCAAAGTCAATCCGAGCTCTCTTTTTTTATTATTTTTATTTTTATTTTTATTTCAACAGGTTTTTGGGGAACAGGTGGTATTTGGTTACATAAATAAGTTCTTTAGCAGTGATTTCTGAGATTTTAGTGTACCCATTATCACCTGAGTAGTGTGCACTGTTACCTGATGTATATTCTTCTATTCCTCACGTCATCCCACCCTTTCTCCCAAGTCCCCAAAGTCTATTACTTCATTCTTCTGCCTTTGCATCCTCATAGCACAGCTCCCAATTGTGAGTGAGAACATACATGTTTGATTTTCCATTCCTGAATTACTTCACTTAGAATAATGGTCTCCAGTTCCATCCAGGTTACTGCAAATGCCATATTTCATTCCTTTTTGTGGCTGTGTAGTATTCCACAGTATGTATATGTATATGTGTGTGTGTGTGTGTGTGTGTGTGTGTGTGTGTGTGTGTGTGTATATAACATTTTCTTTATCCACTTGGACATTTGGGCTGGTTCCATATTTTGCAATTGCAAATTGTGCTGCCATAAACATGTGTGTGCGTGCAAGTATCCTATCCATATAATGACTTCTTTTCCCTGGAGAGACACCCAGGAGTGGGATTGCTGGATTAAATGGTAGATCTACTTTTAGTGATTTAAGGAAACTCCACACAGTTTTCCACAGCAATTGTAGTAGCTTACATTCCTACCAACTGTAAAAGTGTTCCCTTTTCACCACATCCATGCCAACATCTATTATTTTTTGATTTTTCTTTATGACGGCCATTCTTGCAGGAATGAGGTAGCATCACATTGTGGTTTTTTTTATTGCATTTTAGGTTTTGGGGTACATGTGAAGAACATGCAAGATTATTGCATAGGTACACACATGGCAGTGTGATTTGCTGCCTTCCTCCCCTTCACCTATATCTGGCATTTCTCCCTATGCTATCTCTCCCCACCTCCCCACCCCCCAGTCCCTCCCCCATTTCCCCCCAACAGACCCCAGTGTGTGATGCTCCCCTCCCTGTGTCCATGCGTTCTCATTGTTCAACACTCGCCTATGAGTGAGAAGATGTGGTGTTTGAGTTTCTGCTCTTGTGTCAGTTTTGATTTGCATTTCCCTGATCATTAGTGATGTTGCAAGTTCTCTCTTCTTCACGCAGGGCATATATTTACATGTCTTCTTTAATTCTTTTTTTTTTTTTTTTAACACATTTTTACTTTCTTTATAGCAAGGTTGCGTCAAATATAGTCCTGTACTTTTAAGGGAAAAAAAATGACCTGCAGTTGTGAAAAATCTCAACCTATACAAAAGCTAAAATTTGAACAGATATATTAAAGTTTTGTTGTTGTTGTTGTTTAATTTTGGGACATAAGACTAAGACAAAACACATTAACACATTAAATCAGATTCCTCCTTAAATTCCAAAAAGCAATTTTTACATTTTGAATATTCTATCACTTTTTTTACTGGAGTGAGATGCAGGAATTCAAGGAGAATCAGATGCAAAGAGGATGATTTAAAGAGACACGATGAATAAGATGCAGTGATAGCAATCATAGATTTCTGAAACTAGAAGAAACAATCATACTCATTTTATTTCTCCTTCTTCTAATGGATAAGTAGTTTATGTATAAACAGAAGCATTCCATTTTGACAGTAAAGAGTGATGCCAGGGCTGATGAGACGCTGAACTGGAAAATGTGAAAAAACAATTTGTGGGTGACTCAAAACCTTCACAGTTTTAAAAAATCATTGTGTGTAAACTAAATTTAATTTCTTCACATCAATAAAGGATGGATTTGGCATTTTCAGGGGTATAGTCATGAGAACCACTTCCGTCTTTTTAACTGGAGGTTCTAACAAACATTTCCTACGTCCATTACTATTGTCAATCAAGAAAAATGGCAAGACAAGTCTCAATCATTTTAGGACGTTTATTTGCCAAAGTTAAGGATACATGTCCAGGAGACGAGTGTATGCCTTTCTCTGAAGATGACTTTGAGGGCTCCAGATTTAAAGGGCAAAGGGTAGGTTATTAAGAAGTACACAATTTTCATGTAAGAGGTGGGTAGGGAAAAATAGTTGTTCATGCTTTTTTCTGGCTCAGTGAATCTGCATTTTTTTGTTTCTGTTTTTTACATAAGATGACATAGACAAATGAGACAGAGCAAAAAATGCAGGGAATCTGCCTTTCCCCTAAGGTAACATAGACAAAATGAGGCAGGGGAACAATCAGATATGCATTTGTGTCTGGTGGGCCAGGGGTCACTGCACCTTAAAGATAAGCTATCAACTTACATGGCCATGGTGAAATTTTAACAGAAACACCGTAGGGTAAAGATCTTGGAGCTCACTAGGAATTTACATCTCATATACTTTAATAATTTAAGAGAAAATGTACACTCATGTCAGATGTAAAAGAGAAAGTGTTTAACAGACGTCTACCTATGTTCATAGTAAAAGCTCTCTGCAAATTAGCACAATAAGTAACCCTCCTATATGCGATAAAGGGACTGTATAATAATAATAAAAAACCTTAAAATTATACCTCCTGGTAGATTACCATTATGCATATACACAAGTAGAAAATCAAAATGAAAAACAGAATTGATTACAAGACTATAAAATCCACAAAATTCCTGGGAACAAATCTAATACAAATGTGCAAATCTCTATATTAAAAAAAAACTATATAACCTTAATGGAAGGATGTCAAAAAAACCTGAATAAACACAGATAAGTCACATGTTTATAAACTCAAAGACACAGTAGTGTGATAATTTCCAATTTCTTAAAATTGATCTGTACTTTCAGCTTAATCCAAATGAAAGGTTATTTTTTAAAAGCAGGCCATTTTTAGGGGAGGGAGGATCTAGAACAGCTGAGACAAGTTTTAAAAGAGCAAAGTTAGAAGATTTTACCTAATTTTATGACTTACTTTAATATTAGAGTAAATAAGCTGGGTGTGGTGGCATGTGCCTGTAGTCCCAGCTTCTTAGGAGACTGAGGTGGGAGGATCGCTTGATTGGAGTGCAACCTGGGCAACATAGCAAGACCTCATCTCTAAAATAACAATAATGAATTAGCGTAAGCAATAAAAGCATGGCATTTGCATAGAAAGTTTAGATATTGACCCACCTACCTAAGTGTGGTCTATTTATTTCCACAAAGGCACCAAACCATGACTGTGGAAAAACAAATGATTTTAAACCAGTAATGATAAAAAATGCTATACTTATGAGAAAATATCAATGGTTTGTGGATAGAAAATAGAGAAAGACAGTACTTAAAGATATCTGAGAGATACTAAAGTCTAAGGATTGCTGTTTGGTATGGGAAAATTAGAGAATTTGACTGCTAGTACAAAAGGTTGCAATGATAAAGGCAAGGAATTACATACCAGTACCTCATGATATGTGAAGCAATTGTCCTTATTACACAATTGACAGTGTTGAGTATATATCTACAGAGCAAAATGTTACTTAAGAAATCCTCATCAACATGAATCAATGCATTTTATTTTTTCCCATTGAATTACTTGCGTGCACTTGAAATTTATGCATTTTTTCTCTGAGTTTATATGTGTGCATAAAATATGGAATGTAATGTTTATATCAGAAAGCGTAGGAAATTTTCCAGCCTAAACACAATTTATACACTTTCCCAAATTTCAATCTCTTTTTGCACAGGTGAACTTCAGTCTTGTAGAGCCTAGCACTAAAATAGTACTTATTAAGCGTATCATGCAAGGTGTTTTGACTGCACAAATAAATACATACGTGCTTCATCAGCATGTTTCTTGTTTATTAGACATGTCCTAAGAGGTGATTTTGTGATCTTTCAGGGGCTGTATCTTAACCATGGAGATTCAGAATTGTGAGCTTATGAATGCATGGCAAGTTGATCTGTTGCTCAGTGGCCGAAGATGTAAAATAACCAAATTCCAAGACAATGCTAACATGCCAAATTGTTCATTTACAACGTACATGTCTTACTGAAGCTAGGATTTTAAGAGAAACGTAAAACAAGTGCATTCTCTATCCATGTGTAGACCTGCATGGCAAGCAAAATGATAATCTGGGGTTTTTTGTTTGTTTGTTTTTTGTGAGCAAATAGTGGGAAGGATGAACTAAATTATGTTAGTAGATCAGACTGAGGTAATTTACTCTGTCATCCTCCAGAAGAGCAGTGCTTTACTAAGTGCTTTACTAAGAGCAGTGCTTTACACACACATACACACACATTTATTCCTTCAGAATTGAGACTTGAAAATAAACTGAGAACAAGAAAAAAAATGAAGTCATCTTAAATGTATTGGATGGTCCTATTTCAATCTGTAACTGTCTTTAATGTCTCAACTTACCTGAAGACATTCTGTGTCTATTTTTTTTTCTTTTAACTCATCTGTATTTGTTACAACTTTAAGCAGAATGTGACTCGAGCACTACATTTCCAACCACAATACTGGCTCTGAGTTATTTTTGAACAGCTTGTGATATGCTTAGGTAGGCTAATAACTGCTCCTCCAAACAATACCTTTTTTTGGAAAACAAGCCCTGTGGAGAGTTCCATCAAGTTGCTTCAGTTTAACCTATTTCTAGAGGACTAGTACATGCAGAATTGGCAACTACAGGGGATGAAAAGTTCAGAAAGTAGACCCTACAAGATATAACAAATACTTTTCTTCTAAACATCAAGGTATAGCTTGGGAAGCCTTCGATAACAAGATTTGGTCTACTAAGGAATCTGGCTTGAGAACTAAACACTTTAGACCACAAAGGTAACATGTTACATACATCTTACAACACACATTACCTCGATCTGTTCATGTAAGCCAATGTGAAACTAAAAAAGCATTACTAGCTCTGCTTTACTGCCTAAAGTATCACAGCATCGCTTAGAAGTCAACCGAAATCTTTATCTTCCCCTTAAAGTAGTTGTTGTCATGCCATACAGACTTTTTAATGTTAATAAAAATAAAGAAAAACATCCTTGAAAATATATTATTAGAGGAACTGTAGAGTATTGAACAGGTAAGTCATCCCTCAGCTGGAGCTTAGTGTATTTCTTGCATGCGTGATGTGTCATCATCTCCTTCGAGGGGTGGCATTTCTTCACTTCCAGCTGCACTGGTGTCATCAGCAGTAGGGTCATCTTCATCAATACCTAGACCAAGTTTGATCATCCTGTAGGTTCTGTTAGTATGTGTCTGGGGATCTTTCAGGCTGAAGCCAGAAGACAGGAGCGCAGTTTCATAAAGCAAGATGACCAGATTTTTCACAGACTTGTCGTTCTTATCAGCATCTGCCTTTTGCCTTAAGGTCTCGATAATGGAATGGTCAGGGTTTATCCCCAGGTATTTCTTTGCTGCCATGTAGCCCATGGTTGAGTTGTGTCTTAGGGCTTGAGCTTTCATGATTCTCCCATGTTTGCTGTCCAGCCATATGTGCTTGTGACAATACAGCATGGAGACGTCACTGATCGGTTTGACACAACCTTTTCAACTTTTTTCTCCAATATGTCTTTTATGATTTTGAAGAGGTTCTCAAACTTTGTTTTTTTCTCTTCCTGTTTCTTTTTCTCTTCTTCATCCTCTGGAAGTTCCAAGCCCTCTTTGGTGACTGACACTAAAGTCTTCCCCTCAAATTCCTTCAGCTGTTGGACACAGTACCCATCAATGGGCTCAATCTGTGTCTATTAGAAGGAAAACCAGGCCAGGTGCGGTGGCTCATGCCTGTAACCCCAGCACTTTGGCAGGCTGAGGGGTGCAGATCACAATGGTATCCATTGTCTATATCCAGATTGTTGCGGGAATGGTGGCTGGTTACTGGTTCTTTGTTTTCTATTTACCAATCAGTACAGGTTTCCTTCCTTCCTTCCTTCCTTCCTTCCTTCCTTCCTTCCTTCCTTC